CGCCCTCCACGAAAACAGATTGCCACAGGCCGCCGGTGGCACTGCGAATTCAGCTGCATGCACACGGGAAACAAAGACGATGAACGTGCTATCACTTATTGTTGTCTGTCTATTTGGCACGGCGAGATTCTTTCTGTTTTTTTAATCGAATAATTTCGTTTCCCTTTTGGAGTACATTTGTGTCAGATTTGTTATGGTTATTTTACTTTTTAATTATAAATATATGTAATTATGTATAATATTTTCAGAATATTATTACATTATTTGGAATGTAATAATATTCTGTGTGTGTGTGTATATATATATATAATATACAGATATTCTGTATATAATAATATATATCACTTATTGTTGTCTGTCTATTTGGCACAGCGAGATTCTTTCTGCTTTTTTAATCGAATAATTTCGTTTCCCTTTTGGAGTACATTTGTGTCAGATTTGTTATGGTTATTTTACTTTTTAATTATAAATATATGTAATTATGTATAATATTTTCAGAATATTATTACATTATTTGGAATGTAATAATATATTCTGTATATATAATATACAGATATTCTGTATATAATAATATATATCACTTATTGTTGTCTGTCTATTTGGCACAGCGAGATTCTTTCTTGTTTTTTAATCGAATAATTTCGTTTCCCTTTTGGAGTATATTTTAATTATAAATATATGTAATTATATATAATATTTTCAGAATATTATTGCATTATTTGGAATTTATTGGAACTCTGTTATTGGAAGAAATATATTTTTATTTATATCCTGTTCTATATAAAAATAATAATAACGACGATAATAATGTATACTAATGATAAAATAGATAATAATGATAATGAATGATTCGGTTTTTATAAGTAAAATTGACGAACATTTTGTATATTTGCTTAACTAAATTTTGAGATAACGAAGTGTAACTTTTATACAATTATCTCTCTCTCTCCCTGTGTAGGTATTATTATTAACTTTCTTGTACCATTCTCGCACGATAACATTTTTCACAGCTGCCCCAATTCAGCTGGTTATATTCGTTCGAAAAAACTCACCCCGTATATTAATCCTGTTCAAGATTCCAATATTAACCCCTTGTCCTATGATTTCTTTAGAAGACACGTTAGTATGAACTTCTTTATTGTTAACAGTTTTCTATCTAGAACAAAAATATTTACATTTATTGTATGCCAACTTTCGCTCTAATAAAGAAGAATACTGTTAGCAAAGAAATAAAATTGTATTTCAGATCAACGCACCAAAAAAAAGGTACGTGCATATCTTTAGAAACTGCGCTATAATACAGTGATTCTAACCCTCTTACATCAAAGAATAGCATAATCAAAAATAATTCAGTCACATAATTTAAGAATTTAATCATTTGCAAACTTCAATAAATTTCCAACGAAGTTGAAAGTTGTTTCCAACGAAGCGGTGTTTCAAAAAGCTATGCAATTAACCCAATTAAGCACGGACCGGATCAAAATAAATTAAACTCATTCACGTTTCATAAATATTCTTCGCGACTAGCCTTGATCGTTGTCGCAGTTCAAACTATTAATGTTCAGATGTTTTTCCAGAACCTCTTCAGCAACGGGAGTTGGACTGCAGCGAAGTGCGAAGTCGATGCGATCCGGGAACCCCGCAACCCCCATTGACTATCCGACGTAGTCGTCACGATGCCGACTATAATAGCCACTAAATTCCGAGCGAAGCATCGGCAGATCCTCTCATAAAGGAGAAGGGCGGCTCGCTAACACGTGCTAAAACCGGTGCTAAATATAGGCGACGAGAAATTATAGATGCATTACCGCAACAAGCAGGATAGGGTTCGGGAAAGTAATAACGCGGTGGCGTCCTGCCAAAGAGTCGCGCCCCGCGACCGCGACACCGACAGCTAGGGGAAGATTGAATTTGTTAAATATTTCTATTGGGATTATGGAATGAAAATGAATATGATTCTAATTCTTTGCTTAAAAGGACTTTATTTTATTCCTTTATTGAGAGAAGGTATATGGGCGAATACGATCGAGCGACCAAACTCTACTGAGAGTCCGGCAAGAAAAAACGCTTCTTTTGTACCCTTTTTGGGTTCGTCTTGTCCACCAATCAGAGACGTTTTATTTGTCGCGTTTCACATTGTATACGTGACGCTGGGACCCCCAAACAGTCAGGGTACGATGTATATCTAATGGTACCGGTGATGATGTATCGCGGTATCTACTATATACAGTTTACATCACCGTCGTTGCCCGCTGACGGAACCGACGAAAATGTAAACCGATATCTTAGTATCTTAGTACTAAGTAAACTATAGATTAATTTTTGTTCGAGGCTAAAATTTCAACAGTTTCAAAGCGGCCTAATACCGAGGCTGCACATACGCGAGCTCCATTATATCGCGCCCAGGAGATTTCCACGCGGCTCTTCGTGGCTTCGCTCGTAGCCTGTTCACCTGGCCTCTCCTTGACTCCGCTGGAAAAGGTGCTGGCCGGGTATCCGGCGCTTTTGTTTCACGCATCTGGGTAAAGCCGATTCATCAACCTTATCTACCCGATCATCTCGGACTCTCTGACTCACCGTATAGGGATCCAAGGCCGGCCGTGCAACTTTTACCGCATTCAGCATAAATGTTTCCAGGCTCTTCGACAAGGCGGATAGCCGGCCGGATTGCAGCCGATCCCGCGGGCGAGAACCATTGTCCGACGAGCCGCTGGAAATACCACGGGTGGTCCTGGCCCGATAGAAAGGGAATACAGTATCGAATCCGTAAAAAACGCGAACTACTTTTAGAAAGGCGATTGCAGATTTGATGCACTCGCGGCACAAAGTAGATCGAACGCGGTACCGTGGAAACGTTTGAAGAACCTGTTACGCTGATTAGAAACGAAAATAAATGTCGGTGCGGTTAATAAACACGGCAAATGTATATTTATGCAGTTAATAAACGCGGCGAATGTATGTCTGTGCAGTTAATAAACGCGGCGAATGTGTGTCTATGCAGTAAATAAATGCGGCAAATAAATATCTTGCAATTAACGCGGACATATTCTGCTTTGCATAGGAATACGTAGTTTTGTAATAATAATCGTTAACACTAGATTTAAGCGCAAAAAAATAGCTGTTTTATGTTAGCTTATAAAAGAAACGATAAGACGTTTATTCTGATTTTTAACAAGTGTTATGGTAACATTTGCCGTAAGTAATATGTAAATTGAATAAATAACACATAAATGCATCTTTACGATACGAATAATCGTAAATTGAAAAATTAATGACCCGTCATTTTGACGAGTTCCGTAAATCTAGTGTTAAAGATTCCCGAAGCATATATCTTGAAGACGGCACTTGTTGAATGTTTAAAGTTAGTGCGAGCAAAATTGGCGAAGATACAGTATAATATCGTCTGCCATTGTTTAACGTAATGTAGATCCCAACACGATTTTCATGGAATCACATTTCCGAATTTGTCAGTAAAAAATCGATATTTTACAAAACTGGTACCCTCTTCTCTCTCTCTCTCTCTCTCTCTCTCTCTCTCTCTCTCTCTCTCTCTCTCTGCACAAAGCTGGTATCTCGTTCTAGCAGAAAAGAATATAATGCCAGAATAAGGCTCTAGTTTCATTATAATAAATAACGTGTAAATTGGTAGTTGTGGTGAGAATTTAGCAGTCTTAAAACTGTACATCTTCGGACTTAGTCAGTTGGGAAAGGACGACAAAAACTATAGGATACATTTATCCCTGTTTTTAAACAAAATAGTTGAAGAATCACTGAATAGCTTTGCGAATGCTGTTTGAGAAGCTTGAAAAAGCAAATTTATGCATTGTCGGGATTAAAAACTCGCACGCGTGTAAATCGCCATGGCACCGTGTTGAATTGCTTGCTAAAAGTAAACGTTGACAAATCATCCTGACAATTTGTTAACACTTAGCCAACCGAACGGAGAGATCTCCCCGTTTTAAATTCAGTCGGTTGACGACCGAATGGATGATTAATGAAAAATTAAAAATGATTGCTTAATTTTATTAAGATTTGCAAGAGGTACGAATGCTGAAGAAGTAATCGATGCCATGTAAGTTTGCTTCATAATTTTTGTTCAATCGAATGAAATATTTTAATTTTACGAAAACTTTTTAGGTTTCTAGCGCGTGCGTGGAAGTGTTAAGAGAAGAAAGTTTGATAAATAGCGTCTTAATATTTCGTAATTTCAATCGATTCGGCTGTTATTCTTCGCTGGAGTATCCGATACAGAGTAACGCCTGACCTTTGAACAACCTCGAATTCCATCCCCGGGGAGAAACACTCTGTGGAACGTGAACAGAATTCGTCTTCAGAAGTTTCCAGCTTGCCGAATAGATTCCACATCTTCTCGAACAACTGTCCTATTTATTCTGCAGCGAACGTATGCGAAATTTACTGCTCGATCCACCGTGTTCGATAAATACTTCTCTCCCAGAGCGCGAAGTTCATTTTTCTTTGACAAATTCACTTTCTAAAATACCATTGACGCTTTAAGCAAATACTTACTAGCATATGTGTAGCTCTATGTAGTAGTATATGTAGCTGAAGTTTAGCAGTCTCTTTAAACATCGTTTAAACATGTTTAAATGTTTACAATGTTATGAAAGAATATTTGAATCTGGAGGAATCCACGCAAAAAGCATTTCTGCATTCATGATAGGAAAATCCTTGAATTTGTAAATTTGATTTCCTTTAAGTTGAATTATTTAAAAATTTAGGCCGATGCAGGGAAACACACATACTACAATTTTGTATTGTATATATTTTCGAATTAATTTGAAACTTTACTCGAATAAAATTGGTAAGAAATAAAATTAAAATAAAATAAATAAAATAAATTAAAATAAATTAAAATAAATTAAAATAAATTGAAATAGATTAAAATAAAATAAAATCTACTAAGGAATACAATTTTTAAAAGCTTCGCGCTGCACACACGTTTGTAGAACTTTTCCGTGGTAAGTATTGAAATGCACTCAGTGTACGTATATTTTAATCAAACGGAAATATTATGTATATGTACATAATCAATACAGCAATCGACAAGACAAATTTTACAAAAATGAAATAAAAGAAAAAAAAATGTAAATGCTTGATCGAACGAAGCTTGCGTTGAACGGTATTACATGGAGATGATAAAATCTTAATAACCGGCGTCGCGCGCTCGCAATGATACCATTTCCACCATCTATTCCGACCGGCGAGCCGTCTTCTAAATGGCACGGTTCACAGCCGGAATGCATAAGCGAGAATATTAAGTGGAAATTGGGGCTTGCAATATGTGTACATGCACTTGAAATCGGACTGGTAATCATACGAGTATAATTGGCGACATCCATTCAGAGTAGGCGGGAACTCCGCAGCGCGTCGCAAATTTTAATGATTCTACTCAAGGCAAACCCATGCTCTCGTCCGTTCTTTTTTCGTACGTGCTCGAAATGCTAAAGTACTCGGCGATACGGTTTGCTCCCTTTTCCAGTGAATTTTTCGAAACAATATAATTAGTATTAATTATCGCATGCAACGAACTGAAACGAATGTCCAAATGATTTAACGGCTGCGATAAAAACCGAGCATGAAACGAACGTTTATAATTCGGCGATATGATTAATTCCAGGTCAGCGCGCGCCAATGACGAGGAACAATTAATTGTTAGTCGTCGACTCCGCACCGAGTGGCGCGTGAAATATGTAAATGCTGTGTCCGATGTGTAGTACGTCCTGCACTTATGTTTATTCATAGTGTTCACGGAAGATCTTTACTCTACTAGGGGAAGCAGTAAATTACAGATGTACACACGCGCGCGCGCGCGCGGCATCATCCATCCACGGTAATATATTAATCCTATAAAATTATCTTATATCGAGCTTCAAACTGCAAAAGACAATGTAGCACCTGTAATATACATAGAAAAATAAATGTATTTTGTAAAGTATATGTAATCGTACATACCAGATCAATACGTATCAGATCTGTAAATATATGTAGGAACATATTATAGTACACGAATTAACTCCAAACTAATTCTATTGCGGTTAACGTCCGCGCTAAGGACTTTAACTTCCACGCGTTGACCTATCAAAAGCGTGCAATTTTTCATATATTTCAATGGTATAAGACCATCTCTGCCAACACCTACATCCACAAACACCCCAAAATGAGTGACGTTTCTTACTGCACCGGTCAACGATGTTCCCCTGCTTATATCGTTTATGCTAAGCATACTATTCTTGAACAAAGGACTAGTGTTCTTCAGTCTTATATCTTCGTCTTTTTTCATGGATAATCCTTTAACGATTATTTCCATCGTCGTCTCATTTGTGTCGAACTTCTGTGCCAAAGCAGCACAACCCTCTTTAACGAAAGACATTATTCTATCGATGAATGCAACATTACCAAGGTACTCTACGTTACAATTACAATACTTCAAAAATCGCTCGGCTATGTTATATGACTCTGGGTGAATCCAAGTTTGATCTAACAAATTGGGATCGTATTTTTTAACGCTTTTGCTTTTCACTGACACGTCAGTCTCTGATGTCTCTGGCAGAATTCTGATAAATCCGGCACACTGTTCAAAAGTTTTGTTACCGATACCCTTCACCTCCAATATCTGTTGTCTGTTTTTGAATGGGCCAAATTCGCTTCGCCATTGTATGATGCTGTTTGCCCTAGATACATTTAAACCAGCAACCCTTTTTAAAAGGCATTGGGATGCCGTGTTCACATCCACTCCTACAAAACTCACAGCCTCTGAAACTACCTGTAATAATTTGTACCATTTTCATTATTTTTATTTCATAAAATAATTGCTTTATTAGCGCAGACCGATAGAAATTCATACTCACTTCGTTTAATGTTGTTGATAATTGTTTCTCTGGTAAGTCATGTTGATACATTCCCACACCCAAATGCTTAGGTTCTACCTTTACCAATTCGGCAAGTGGATCTTGTAACCGCCTTGCTATAGAAACAGCAGAAATTATATTAGTATCGAGATCTGGAAACTCAGATTTTGCTTCTGCGCTACAACTGTATATCGATGCTCCTGCTTCATCAACAATTGCATATGAAATATTTAATGCCTCAGACTTAATTAATCCGTTCAAAAATAGTTCCGTTTCTCTACAAGCTGTAGCATTGCCCAATGCTAAAATTGTACATCTGTATTTGTTTATCAATTTCATCAGAACACTAACAGATTCTGCCATGTGATTTGCCCCTTTCTTATGTGGATAAATTACACCCGTATCAAGCAGTTTCCCTTGTTCAGAAATTACTGCAAGCTTACAGCCATGAACAAATCCAGGATCTACGCCAAGTATAATTTTTCCTCGAACAGGCGAAGTGAGAAGCAACTGTTTGACATTAACTGCAAATACTTCAATGGATGCAGTTTCTGCTTGTTTCTTTAACTCATTCCTAACTCGGCGGACAACTAAAGGCTTTATAAATTTTGTGAAAGCATAAGTAATACTGTCATGCATTATACTACTATGGCAGCTGGATGCTTGCATAGCATCTTTGAACTGTTTACAACAGTATGACTTGAATGCATTTTGAAAAAAGTCAGGCAATATAATTTTTACTGTGAGAATCTTTTGTGCTTCTGCCCTATAAATAGCTAATATTTGATGAGGTTTAATTGTTCTTGTAGTAGCATTAAAATCATAATACATCTCATACTTTCTATCTGCATCTTTCTCTTTGGTATCAGACTTGTTGACTTTACATGCATTAGTTTGTATTTTTATAATGCTTTTAGTTTGAAGTTCTTTGACTTTATCAAATATGCACTTATCCTTGTTGATTATATCTCCTATTATATGAATAATGCCTTCTGAAATCTGGGCCTGTGTTCTCAAACCTTCCTTGTTAGCATCGACAAGTGTAGAAAAATCAGGTAATGGTTGACCATATAACACTGCATTACTTATAGGTTCCAATCCAACTTTTTTAGCTCTTTCTGCTAAGGATCTTGTTGATGTAGTCTTAAAGAGGGAGTATATGTATTCTAAGTCATCCAAACATTTAGTAGATGTAACAGCCGCATGCACATTGGGTGTCCAATTTCCTGATTTATCAATAAGCTTCAGAATACTATGAGCTCGATGTTTAATTACTGTAGCTTGATCAAAACTCTCTTTCAATGCTCTTAATTTATCTGCTTCCATACCGCCAGTCATGTTTCTTCTATACCTTGCAATAAAAGGTATCGTATTATCTTCCTTTAGAAGATTTACCACATTTTTTGCTATGTGCTTATCAATATTATTTACCTCGCTTACATAATCTACATCTGTCCATTCTTTACACTCTACAGAATTAAATTTTGACAGTATTTCAGTTTTTAGAGAATCTTTAATACTTGTCGTATCAATACTTGGTGTTTCTATGTTTTCTTTATCAGTACTTTCAGTTTTAACGTTCCCTTTATGAACACCTTTACCTTTTTTATTTTTATCATCGTAACTTTGCTTTTCCTCTTCCTCCGAATCTAACAAGATTTCAACATTAGAATCAGTAATAGTTTTGGTTTTTGATTGTTTACTTTTTGTCTCTGTCTTTATACTCCCACTTTTTTTGGTCTGTGCAAGAGTATCAGCCTTCCTCCTTTTAGTAGTGGAAATACTTCTAGATTCTGTTACT